ACATGGATACAGAATTAGCTGAGTAACACGAAATTGAGCAGTGGAGGGTTCTTTATCAGACTACATGAAGGTATATATTGGGGCTCCCCAAAAATTAGTGTGAGAAATACTACTTCTCCTGAGATATGTCCACGGCCTATCCTTCAGTGTACATGGCACAGTTCTAAAATTAGCAATGACACAAGCTTGGCAGACAGTGACAGACTTCGCAAGGATATAGACTGGTGAACGGGTGCATACGTGGAAGGTGAAATTTAATGCACAAAAATATTAAGTGGTACATTTTGGCAGGAAAAATGAGTATTGGCTTAAGTAATTAAGTAACGAATTCAGAAGTAAGTGATATCTTAATTAACTAATAAATAGATGACAGTCCTTTAACAAAGCACTGCAACACAAATCAAGGGAACCCTAAATTAAGTTTAAATTGTTATTCTGGCAGCAATAATGCACTCTGGACCCTGCAGTACCCAATGGTCACAAGGGCCTCAGATATGTGAATGGACACTGCATGCTTCTTCCCCGAGGACACTCGGCTGTGGACATAACCACAGGAAGTTGGGTCAAACAAATACAGAAAAAGTACAAAACCAATCAAGTTAAGATGAACGTTTATAAAACTTTGATTCACCCGATAATTGGTCATTGGTCAGGTCACCTTATTGTGGTCAAAAAATCAATACGTCAATAAACCATTGGTCAGACCACATTCAGAGTATTGTGTTCAGTTCTGCGCCCCTCATTTAAGGGATGGTGTTAAGGCCTTGGAGACAGTTCAAAGGAGATTTACTAGAATGATACTAGGAGTGAAGGAGTTTACATACCAGGAAAGATGGGCTAACTCTCCTTGGAGCAGAAAAGATTAAGCTTATTGAGGTGTTCAAATTTATGAACAGTATTGACAGGGCAAAGAGGATATCCTGTTTCTACTAGTTGGGGTGTCACTAACTAGGCATTGCAATTTCAAGATTATGAGCAAGAGACCGAAAATAAGGAGAAACTCCTTTACTCAAATAGTTGTTAGGATTTGGAATGTGTTACCTGGGAGTGTGGTGGAGGCGGATTCCATAGGAGGTTTCAAAAGGTAGTTGGATATATATTTGAAAGTGATGAAGTTAGAGGGTTACAGAGTGAGGGCTGGAGAATGGGGCTAGCTGGTAGCTCTTCCAGGAGACAAAAGACACAATGGGGCAAATGCCCTCCTTTTGTGCTGCAAAGTTCTGTGATACTGTAATTTAGGAAGGGTGTGAAGACCTGAGGGAGGGTGCAGAGAAGATTCACAAGAATGTTTGGGGGTTCAGGGACTTCAGCTATGTAGATAGATTGGAAAAGTTAGGACTGTTCTTCATAGAGAAAAGATTGAAGGGAGATTCGATTGAGGTGCTCAAAAGCATAAGGATTCTACACAAAGTAGATAGAGTGAAACCGTTCTCATTGGTGGAAGGATCAAGAATCAGAGGATATTGGTTTAAGGTGATTGACAGAAGGACCAATGGCAACAGGAGGCAAAACATTGTGCATAGTATGTGCCTGAGATCTGGGGTGCACTGCCTGAGAGTCTGGTAGCAATAGATTCAATCAGGGCTTTCAAAAGGGAATTGGATAAGCTGCTGAAAAGAAAAATATGTCCGGGTTGCAATGGAAAGGATAGGGGAATGTGATTAGCTCAGCTGCTCTTGCAGAAAGCCCGCAGGGAGACGATGAACCAAAAGATCTTTCCTATATTACATCAATTCTATGTTGGTCGTGGGTGATTTAATGACAGCAATGATGTTGAATGCCAAGAGGATGTGGTCAGATTCTCTCTTGTTGGAGATGTTCATTGCCTGGCATAAATATTACTTGCCGTTTTATCAACCCCAGCCTGAAGGCTACCAAGGTGTATGCAACTGCAGACTGCTTTGGTATCTGAGGCGTCATGAAGAGTGCTGAACGTTGCTTAATCATCGGCGAACATCCTCACTTCTGACCTTGATCATGGAGGGATTGTCAGTGATGAAACAGCTGAAGATGGAAGCATTCAGTTTTACCATTTATCAAAGGTGGTTGTAGACACCTAACTGCAATTGCAGGTCTGACTCTCATGGGCATGAACTAAAACTTCAAGTGCAATAGTTAAGTGTTTCATTGTCGTAGGCACAACACACCCAATGCTGTTTGCGTATCTCCTGGCTCAGGTAGACCTAAAGATTTCTTAGCTCTTTTTCTTAGTTGCTGATGGAATTCTTGCTATGCATTTGCCTACAACTACACATGTAACAAGTCATCCCATTCAAAAGTAAATTGGATCTGATTTCCAGAGGATATAATGTGCCATAAATGACATATTTTTCTTTTGTACAATGCTAATACAGACCAATTCAGAGATTGTCAGTTAAATGGGTCTCAATAAATAAAGTATCATTTTTAATAACTCAAAGATAGTGCCCTCGCCCATCACTGAGTGCAAAACTGTTAAACCAGAAAGGATCGGGTCCATTTGATTACCATTTGGGGACTGCCTGTTATAAAGTATACCTAGGTGGGCTGAAAACAGAATCTCCCTTGGGGCATTTACCACAATCCAATAGCCTGCCAATACTGTCTAGACATACAAGTGCAGATTAGTCATTTGAGTGAAGTAATGGAGGAGTGGAAGAGGAAGTGCAGCATGTACAAATTTAGGATACGACTGAAAACATTGCATCAATTGTCGACACTTACTTGGTGTGGCAATGTTGCCCTCTGCTGGACTAAAGTATTTTATCAGGAATAAAAAAAAACAAAATTCTATACCTCTGACCTTGCAGTTTCCAGATAGATTTGCTGTTGTGGATTAGACAAGGCAAAAGAAACTTCTTAAAAAAATAAATATATGCTTCTTTCATTGTACAATTCATTTATATTATCCATCCGTCTATTTGCTACTGTATCTTTTTCAAACAATCTTTGTCTTTTATGCATCTATTAGCTATTGTATTCCCTTTCACTTTGCCAAAGACCTCACCTTCTGATGCATAGGTCTCATTTTGTGATTTATTTCCAGCTCGAATACTTCATCACACAGCTCATTAGGCCATTTCTCTTTAGTCTGTCCAAATTTGTTCTTTATTCTCTTTTCAATCCTATCATTCTCAGGTGTGTTTTTTAAATTTGTATCATTGCTGGTATCCCAGCTGCCATCCACTCCTTGCTGCTTCTTGTCCATTTCTGCAATATTTGGTTTGTAACATCTTGTATAGTCTCTTTCATATTTTCCTGTTTGCTTTCTATCTTTTGTTCTGAGACCTCTGTCCTGCTGTCTCAACCTTGAGAATCATAAACCTTTCTGAAGTTCACTCCCTTCAACATGTTAACTGCTAAAAGGTCACACTTCTTTCTTTTTGTCAATTTCAGCTTCAATTTAACTTTTGCTACAGGAAAAAACAATCTGAATCTATATCCTCGCCAGGATACATATGGATGTCCCTTTATACTACTTCTGAAATATTATTGCACCATCACAATCTATTTGATTCCTAAACACATTGCTTGGATTTAGAGCGTACAATCTCTTCTGCTTGCTTAAAGAATGTGTCTGCCGCTATCAAACCATTTTCTTCACAAAATTCTCAATCCATATTTACCAATGTGCACTCTGATGTTCCTTCACTGATTTTAGTGTTTAAGTTGTTCATTAGAATGACCACATTAGTTGATTTAACTCCAAAATACTTCAGAATGTTACTATAAAATAGTGCTGCTCATTGATCTGGTGCTGGAGCATAAATATGTATGACAACCAGATTAAAAAATATTTCCTTCAATTCTAATTGTGATCACACGGAGGTTGACTGGTGCCCTGAATTGATCTCTTACATTTATGAGGGTTTCTACTCCATTCCTGTCTCTGACCTCCCAAGAGATGAAGCACACAATTCTTCTTTCCCTCCAGAACCAAATCTTTTCTCCCTTATAAAGCTGCCAGTCAACACGATCAAAGATGCTTAGCTCTTCCATTCCACCATCTCACTCGATGATCCCACAGTTGCTGTGTTGTCAGGCTTCCTTCAGTGAAACATACTGAAAAAGCCATCATCTTCAACACTGTCTCAAATGCTCTGACCTTAAACACAGATTCCTTTACTCTTACCAGTCCACTGTCTCCAGCTAAACCAAATTGCTCACAGCCTTAGTGGTCAGTTCAATCCAAATTGCAAATCCTCTGATGCTACTTGACCTGCTGTGTTCATCCAGCTCTACACCTTGTTATCTTAGCTTGATTAAATTCACTGGTTTTAAGGAGGAGGGTTTTAGGGATTGAGTGCATTCTAGGTCAAAGAAGGAACGTGCTATTTGATTCAATCAGCCAGTTGCTGGGATGTATGGCCCAAGTACCTGGCATTGCACCAGTTCTGAAACTTATGTGCCATACTGCTGAATTGTATGGGAGGCAGAACATTGTTTTGGACTGGCAGTAGCATCCTGCTGGTGGAAATACCACTCAGCACCACTGCATAGGAAGAGCGTGAAACAGACATTAGAAGTGATTCTGCAAGATCTTTCAGGATCTTGACGCTGTTCCTGTCCAGTGCCTTTAAGAGAAGTGAGTGTAACAAGCAGGCAAGGAGAATTTGGAAAAAATAACTACTGGTATAAGAGCTAGAGGGTAGTTTTAGTGCAGAATTGGTCTTTCTTTTATATGAATTTTTAGCTTTCAGCCTGAGTTCTCAATTGGGTGGGGGGACAGAAGCTAAAATCAGCAATGCTATGACAAATATTTAAAACATGAAATCAAGTTTTGACTGAAAGGTGGCTTTCTATGGAAGCACACTTCGACTGGAAAACAAGCAAACCATATTAGATAGAAACTTGCATTATAATCATGTTTAAATCTGTTGGATTGGCAAAGGCCTGGAGGTCAAACACATGCAATCCTTTGAAGCAGGTAAAATGGACAGGTGCGGATTGGCTTGGAGATGGTAGGGAGAGGCAGGTAAACAGAACTAAGTGTTAATTAAACGTAAGGAATTAAACAAGAATTAATCAAAACAACAGAAGCTGAAAATCTCCATTTTTATGATTTTAAACAAATATTAAAAAGTATAAAGTCGGGCGTGTACAAAGTTGAAACAAGTCCATTACAAGAGCTTGAATGCAGGTATCGCTTCTGTAAGTGTGCAAGGGATTAGACAGTAATGCCACAATTTAATTCCTGCAAATGAATAGTCACAGTTCACAATGAAAGGGAAAACACACTCAGCAGATATCATATACAAGACGTGGAGAAGGGGGCACTCATAACCAATGTAACAGACTATTGACCAATGCAGTTCAAACTTTCTGTCTCAAAGAAATGTCTTTATAACTTATGAAGAGGAAATAAAAAGATTCCTGACATTCTTAGGAAAGATAATAATGAAGACACTTTGAAATACTTTAGCAAAATTGTTAGGGGAAATAATAATTGTTCATTTGGTCTGCACTAGACTTTAAAAACACATTTCACCCCAAACAGCTATTAAACCAAATGTTCTCTAGATTTAACTAGTGTAACCCCTTCACCAGTACAATGGTTATTTCAAGAGTGACAATACATTATTGTTTTGCAGGCACTAACTGATAAACTGTTGAGAAATGTTATGTTTTCATTTCTCTTCCAAGACATTGAATTTCACAGCAATATCTGTCCTTTCTATGGGATACCATTTCAGGGGTTTAACAATATTACACAACCACATCCAAGTGACTATGGGAGTTAAATATTCCATTTTTTGGAAATGGAGATTAAATAGAATGAAAACTGTGTCCATTTTACACTTTCATTTCTTTTTCTGTGATTACTCAGTGTGATAGTAGCTTGGCCCCTGAGATGGTCACCACTGCAGCAAGTTCTACCATGCATTAGGTATGAGGGAATGGAGAAAATCAAAAATAAATGATTTCTAAAGATGCTCTTAGCAGCCACATAAGATAGCACATTGGGTAACTCAATAACTACATACAGGAGAGAAGAATAAAAGGGTATGATAATAAAGTGAGATAAAGTAAAGTGGAAGGAGGCTCCCATGGAGCAAAGGCCAGTTGGGATATACGGTATGCCTCTGTGCCATGAACTGCCTTGCAATGACATGTGATGTGACAATTAACAGCAATCTGGGAGAAGCATCTACAAGTTTCTTTCTTGGGTGATGAACAATTGTTGAAGACTTCCAACGGCTGGTACGTCATTTTTTTTCTGTGATAGTCAGGATGACCAAATAATTTACCTTCTCGTCACTGCTGCTTCAGGCACTGGTGTGAAGTCATGCATGTTATGGGTCCAATTGGATACTGTCCATCTTCTAACAGCACTTACCAAATGGGCACTCCCTTTTAGTCCCAGGACAGTGAAGATTATTGAGCAAGTTGATGCTGAAGGGCATCACACATATCATTTCCACCTTTTAACAGATTACATAACAACTAGCAGGAACTGGAAGGATAGCTTATTCTTTTCCTGCCTCTACCTAACTTATTGGCACAGACACCAACTGTAGGGCCCCAACTGCTGCCCCATGCTAGATCAGCAAACTGAGAAATCGCAGATCTAGGCTTTTCTGTTCTTTATAGCTTAACACTATCGTAAATGATACCTTTAACCACTAATCCAGTGTTTAAAATGAAAGGGAAAGCAAGATGCTTGAATTATGACATTCCCACATTTTGCTAGCAATTTACTGGTAGTTGCCAACAAAAGGGGTATCAATAGTTAAACCAAGACTTGCTGGATGTTGGAAACAAAAACACTAATACAATACTTACTACTACTGTGCAAATATAAAGGAAAAATATACATGTAATAAATAAAGGAACATGACCATCTCATCTCGATAGTAATAGGATCCAGAATACAAGTGGAAAACACTGATATAGAACTGTAGGATCAGTCCCAGTCAAAGTTCATGATAAGTGCACTGATCCCTCGATGCTGCAGAGGATTAACTGGGTTTTGTTTGTCTAAGAGAGTCTGCATTGTTCAGTCTCAGACTTGAGGTGATATTCTCCAAATTGCTGCTCGTCCTTTTCCACTCTGGGCTTACTTAGTATCTGCATTTTAAAAAAGGAAATTAATTATTTTAATTTTTATTTCCTACCAGTTATGTTCCACTTTCCATTTCTCCCCAGAAGATGTCAGCTCTCTAGTACCTAAGTTGCTATTCTTCATATCAAAGCATGGGCAGAGTTTCCTCAAGATGCTTAGCAGAGGCACAGTGAGAGCTGAGATCTTGGCTGATCCATATCCCACCTCCAACCATCTGTCAGACCTGGCTTATTGAAGTTGTCCTCATAAAGCTAGCTTCCAGGTAACATTCTGAGGAATTCATGCTGTATTTCTTTCCAGTGCCAATATATAACTACAAAACTTCCATAGGATTGTTGATGTGGCCTAACTAGGGCTTTGCATAACTATAGAAAAACCTTGTCAGATTTATATTCTAGTCCTTTGCATAAAAAGGCTAATATTCCATGAACCAATCTGGTTATTTTAATACCCAACCACTACATTTTAATGATCTATGTTCTTGGAAACCCAAATCTCTTTGAATCTCTGCAGTTCCTAGTTTCTCATCATTGAGAAAACACCCAGATTAATCCTGTTTTGATCCAAAATGAATGCTCTCATTCTAAGCTACAATGAAATCCATCTGCCAGAATGATCTGTCTTTGCCTCTTTGTAAGTTTAAGGTCCTATCAGCAATACTTCAATGACATCCCCAAACTTGGATATATGGCAATGTTAGCAAAGACACTAACAGATATAATAAATAGCTGAGGCATCACATCAAAAAGTTTTGTAGGGGACAACCAGTCACTACTTTTTCCCCCCCCAAATTCAATACATCTTGTTAAATTCTGCAGTTTTCTGTGTTAAGTGTTTCCTCAAAAATGTCAAGTAGACTGGTTAAATACGACATTTTCTTTTTAAATTCATCCTGCATTGCTGTAATCAGACCAAGTTTTTCTCCAGCGCTCAGTTACTCTCTCTTTAATCGGGACGGCACAGTGGCACAGTGGCTCAGTGGTTAGCACCGCTGCCTCACAGTGCCAGGGACCCGGGTTCAATTCCAGCCTCGGGCAACTGTCTGCGTGGAGTTTGCACATTCTCCCCGTGTCTGCGTGGGTTTCCTCCAGGTGCTCCGGTTTCCTCCCACAGTCCAAAGATGTGCAGGTTAGGTGGATTGGCCATGCTAAATTGCCCGTAGTGTTCAAGGATGTGTAGATTAGGTGGGTTATAGGGGGATGGGTCTGGGTAGGATGCTCTGAGGTTCGGTGTGGACTTGTTGGGCCGAATGGCCTGTTTCCACACTGTAGGGATTCTTAACTGTAGGTTCCAATAACTTTTTCACAATAGGTGTTAGATTAACAGACTTATAAATTCCTAAAATGAAAACACAAACTGCTGGAAATGTTCAGCTGGTCTGGCTGCATCAGGGGAGAGAGTAAAACAGAATTAACATTTCAGGTTCGCGACTTTTGTCAAACAGATCATGTTTGACAAAGGTCATTAATCTGAAACTTGACCTGCTCAATTTGAATATTTTCAGCAGTTACTGTTTTTTGGGGGATAGTAGGAACTGCAGATGCTGGAGAATCTGAGACAACAAGGTGTAGAGCTGGATGAACACAGCAGGCCAAGCAGCAAGCAGCATCAGAGGAGCAGGAAAGCTGACGTTTTGGGCCTAGACCCTTCTT